TCGGTGGCGTTGATGACGTCATTGATGATGTCATTGGGGACATCAGTGGCGTTGATGACGTCATTGATGATGTAATTGGGGACATCAGTGACGTTGGTTACGTCATTGATGATGTCACCGGGGACATCGGTGGCGTTGATGACGTCATTGATGATGTCATTGGGGACATTGGTGGCGTTGGGGACATTGGTGGCGTTGATGACGTCATTGATGATGTCACCGGGGGCATCGGTGGCGTTGATGACGTCATTGATGATGTCACCGGGGGCATCGGTGGCGTTGATGACGTCATTGATGATGTCACTGGGGACATTGGTGGCGTTTGTGACGCTGATGACGTCATTGATGATGTCATTGGGGACACTGGTGGCGTTGGGGACATCGGTGGCATTGATGACGTCATTGATGACGTCATTGGGGACATCGGGGGTGGCACCCGCGGGGTCTCCCAAAGTGTCCCCAGAGCAGTTGGTGGCACCGGGCGTGGCCGCCACCTCCGTGGTGACGTCACCGGGGGTGGCCACGAGGATTTTGTCACCTCCTGAGGGGTCGGTGACAACTCCAACCACGGTGGTGGCATCTCCAGGGACGTCACCGAGGTGTCCCAAAGTGTCCCCAAGGCCGTTGGTGACATTGGGATCTTCTGTCCCCTCCATGGTGACGTCACTGGGGGTGGCCTCAAGAATTTTGTCACCTCTTGGTGACACCGTGACCGAGGTCACCACGGTGGTGGCATCTCCAGGGACGTCATTGAGGTGTCCCAAAGTGTCCCCAAGGCCATCGGTGACATTGGGATCCTCTGTCCCCTCCATGGTGACGTCACCAGGGGTGGCCACAAGGATTTTGTCACCTCCTGGTGACTCTGTGACTGATGTCACCACGGTGGTGGCATCTCCGGTGGCTTCGTCCAGATGTCCCCAAGTGTCCCCAAAGCCACCGGGTGTGGCCGCCACCTCTGTCCCCTCCATGGTGACGTCACCAGGAGTGACCACCAGGACTTTGTCACCTCTTGGTGACTCTGTCACCGGTGCCACCATGGTGGTGGCATCTCCGGTGGCCTCGAGGACATCAGGGACGCGTCCCAAAGTGTCCCCGGAGCAGTTGGTGGCACCGGGCGTGGCCGCCACCTCCATGGTGACGTCACCAGGGGTGGCCACGAGGATTTTGTCACCTCCTGGGGACTCTGTGACCGATGTCACCACGGTGGTGGCATCTCCGGTGGCTTCGTCCAGATGTCCCCAAGTGTCCCCAAAGCCACCGGGTGTGGTCACCACCTCTGTCCCCTCCACGGTGACGTCACTGGGTGTGGCCTCAAGAATTTTGTCACCTCCTGGTGACTCTGTGACCGAGGCCACCATGGTGGTGGCATCTCCGGTGACATCACTGAGGTGTCCCAAATTGTCCCCAGGGCCACCGGTGACATTGGGATCCTCTGTCCCCTCCATGGTGACGTCACCGGGGGTGGCCTCGAGGATTTTGTCACCTCCTGAGGGGTTGGTGACAACTCCAGCCATGGTGGTGGCATCTCCGGTGGCTTCGTTCAGATGTCCCCAAGTGTCCCCAAGGCCACCGGGTGTGGTCACCACCTCTGTCCCCTCCGTGGTGACGTCACCGGGGGTGGCCACAAAAATTTTGTCACCTCCTGAGGGGTCGGTGACAACTCCAACCATGGTGGTGGCATCTCCGGTGGCCTCGAGGACATCAGGGACGCGTCCCAAAGTGTCCCCAGAGCAGTTGGTGGCACCGGGCGTGGCCGCCACCTCCA